AAAACGCATCAATTGCCCCGTTAACGACTCCGGCGTCGTTCGCGTTCCCTGTTTAATTGACGGGAGGGACGAGTGATCAAGGGAGGGCAGCTATTGAGGGGCAAACAAAAAATATAAAATAAAAGAGATAGAGAGAGAGAGAGAGAGAGAGAGAGATAGAGAGAGAGAGAGAGAGTTTTTACCCCCCCCCCCAAGTTAAACTCAATCGAGGTTAATGCACCGACGCCGAGAGCCCCGACTTAACCGAATATTACCAACAGTGGCTACACTCCATGCGGGACCCTCCGGCCTACACGTGCGTCCACTAAAAAGGACGACGGATGCGCACTTGAGGGGCAACTCGATCCGCTCCTTCCGCCCCCGACGGAGACACTACTGCGCTTTCTCCCGCGTGCTCTCGCATTATCCACTCTCGAACGGGCCGCCGTAAAGAAATCAGCGACCAATTATGATTTCGCTTCGACGAATCTGCCCCTCCACACCTACGCTTTACGGCAATTAACTTGTTGACGATTAACTGATTGAAAATGCCAAGGCGACTCGCTCGGCTGCGATCCCCGTTGCATTCGTTCGCTTTGCAGCTTTATTTGCCTCGGACGCGCAGCTTCGTACTCATTAATACTCGGAAACTCATCTGAAATCGAAAACTTTGCTTCGGTCGATCGATTTCATTCGCCACATGGCGCCATAATAAGCTGGACACCTTTGTTCGCGAAAATATAATTTCAGAACCTGTGCATCTAATGTCCCAATGGCGAGACGAGGCTGCCTCGTCAACCAGCCTTACGCAACGAATTAATTTTATTTATCACTTTTTATATTCTTTTTCTTTTTAAACGGCCCTCTGAATCATCCGTATTATTGCTAAAGCGCGCGCTCGACTAGCCCAAAGTCACATGGTGTAATAAATTAATGCGCAGTCCGAGTCTTCTGCAATTGGGGCGAGCAAAAATTCTTCTCGCGCGAAGAATTGGCTCGTACGTGTGAACGTACGTGGATCGACTACGAGACAAAAATTACGGCTCTAGGGTGGCTGCCGCTAATCCGTTAATCACACGCCGATGAGGGATAACGATTACCGCGGAGACGAGCGAAAGAGTAAGGGATAATGTCTCTCTCTCTCTCTCTCTCTCTCTTTCTCTCTCTCACTCTCACTCTCACTCTCACTCTCACTCTCTCTCTCTTACTGTCTGTCAAACACACGCGCGCGGTCTCGCATAGGCACACTAGAGTGCCGCCTCGGTGTGTTTTCAATTTGGATCGAGCGCCCGTGGCTGGCTGGTTGAATCGATCGACAAGCCCGACCGACCCCAGCCTCCGGGAAATCCTCATCATTGTCGGTCGTATATATTATACGCGCGCTCGGAGCCATCGAGCGAGTGCAGTTATTTGCACTGGCCGTGGCCATTTATGGGAGGATAGACGACACTGTTTGCTCTTACTTCTCCTTGGGCTTAGGGGCCGCGCTGAAAAAGTTTACCGGCAGCCGCACGTGGGCCGTTATTTTGTAATGCCGGCCGATACGTCGGTGTCGGGTCACTTAATCGCGACAACTCCCTCTTGGCTAACGCTTTTCGCTCCTTCAGCTGCTAGTTAGGAATGAGAGGGGACACAAGAGCGCGAATCTGACCTCTTTTTATCCCGGCTGCCGGTATTAATTATGGTTGTGAGGAGGGGCGGGGATGCGTCTTTATCCGTAAAGACTCTTCTCTCAACTCGGCGACAATCAATTTCGAGCTATTGAGTCGTAGCTGGCAATAAGCTCGTCTCCTTCGGCCCCAATGTCCCGCGCAAAATCGAAAACAGCCTGTCCGCTTTGGCGCTCCGCGCGATTTATGCGATCGAATTGTCCGCTCCTGGGGCAAGCGACGAGCGGCCTTTATATACGCCACTCGTCCGATACACTTTTATCGAGAAAGAAATTATTAGACGGTTGTCGAAGGAGATAAATGTCGACGATGTCGCTAAGTAAAGTCTGCGGCAATCGCTTATTACGCGCAAGCGCGAAGAGCTGCTCGAGATTTCACGGGAATACGAATGTCACGAGCTATTTTTGCGTAAGTCGAGCGTCAACGACAAGAGGCCGAGGAGGCGAACGTCGAATGCAGCGTCGAGCTGTCAAGATCGCGATTTGGCTGTATTGATAGCACGTTGCTTGTTAAGGTGGCGATGGTGATGACGATGCTGATGACGATGCTGATGGTGATGGTGATGGCGATGGTGATGGTAATGGTAATGGCGATGGTGATGGCGATGGTGATGGCGATGGTGATGGCGATGGCGATGGCGATGGTGATGGCGATGGTCATGGTGATGGTTGAAGCAAAATACGGCCATCGCCATTTTATTGTAATCCCTGATAACTGTTACGCTTCTCGGAATGTGTACTTTAATGATTAGCCTATTTTACTAAATGAAATCGGCTCGGCCGGGAGTCAGTCGCCGTGCACGCTGCTGCAAATTGAATCGCTCGATCTAATTGAAAATTCCGAGAAATTATTATTATTTCTTCTTTCTTTTATTATTTCAATGCGAAAGTAGCAGTCGGGGCGATAGTGGCGGATCGTTAAAATGCTTTTAAGGCTACGAGCCGTTATTGTCGTCTGTCGTGGCGAGCGACACAACGACTGAGAAATAATGCTTGGCGACGAGCGTCGGTGGTCGCGCTGTGATAACTCTGCGTCGTCGCGTAAAAGTTTCCGCGAGTCGTTTATAAGAGTACGCGCGGGAGCGCCGATTCTGCTTGGATAATCGTGAATAATCGTGAATAATCGTGAATAATCGTTGATAATCGTTGCTAATCGTGAATAATCGTAGATAATCGTAGATAATCGTTGCTAATCATGAATAATCGTTGATAATCGTTGATAATCGTTGGTCAACTCGAAGGCGAACGCAAGTTTGGAAAAGTTAGGCCCGCACTCGTCGCCCTGCAATGGCATTTCGTATGCGAGTCAGCCAGTTACGTTTCTCGAACGACCGGGGAACAATCGCGGCTGTTGTTGAAAAACTCCGTGCGTTTAACAATCGCCACGTAGAGCGAGAATGTTGCCGAGCGAAAGCATAACAACGACGTAATAAGCGAGCCGCCTCGAGTGGAAAGTTACGGAAGCGCTTTTTCAAGGCGAGCCGAATGATCGAAGGAAAGTGCTGGATTCGCAGTCCGGGCGTGTCAGCAAGCGCTGCTGGACTAAGTGACACCGGGGACTCCCATTGTCTCGGTCTACTCGGAATTTCGGCCCTGTGTCCCCGTCGAATTCAATTCACCGGCTTTTGGCTCTCGGGAGTTCCCAGCGACTGGTTCGTAACCAAGGGGAGTGGCGGGATGGAAGGGCTTACAAAGAACGCGGGTCGATCCTCAAAAGGCGAATAATCGCGCTGGGAGGAAGCGCGGCCGACCCTCGGCCATTCAACGAGCCTAATTATGGGCCGGGCTAACGTCACTTTGGGCCCCAATTCATTATCCTCTTGTTACGGCTAATTATATCATTGGGTTGGCGAAAAATGCGAGCTCGGCTGGCACGTTGCAGTGGCTCTGCGACTGGTCGCTCGATTTCCGCTTTCGTTGGATTTTTTCCGTTTACAATTCTGAGCACCGTTTATGACCCGACGATGGGGACGGGAACGGGGACGGGAACGTTGACGGGAACGGTGACGGGAACGGTGACGGGAACGGTGACGGGGACGGTGACGGGGACGGTGACGGGAACGGGGACGGGAACGAGGGCCGAGGGCGGATGTAACGAGAGTCGAATGCCCGGGCAAGGGCCGAAGGACATGATTTTCCAAGAGTCGATGGAAAAGCCGTTTCGCCGGAAGGGCCAGCTTGACACGGTCGCTCCTACGACAAATGAAAAGAGTACGGAGTCATGACCGATTAATTGGAACGGGACAACAGGGCGTACCAAGAGTAATTAAGCTCCCTTGCATACTCTTAATACAACGAATAAAACCATTAAGATCGTTACAGTGCTCCCTCACCATCCGACATTATATGAATTATTCAAAGTTTCTCGATACCCGACTTAATTCACCTGTGAAATTTTACTTTCTAATGCAATTAATTGTCCAAGTAAGTACGCCGTTAATCGTCAATGTTAATAACGAACGTTGCACTTAAAAAGTATCGGGTTCGTCGGCGATTAGAATTTCATTGCAAGCGAGTATGTCAACGAAGCCATTAAAGTGTCGATTACATTGCATCGAATTGAATAATTAGATATACCACTTGAAGATTTGAAATAGTCAGTTCCACGAATGAGTAATTGATAGACATTGCTCAATTACTCACCTTTCAATGTTATCCAACAAATCGAGACGCGCTAGAATAGAGAGAATAAAAAGAAGACGAAGGATGATGAGCTCGAGTCGTGCTTGGTCAGTGGACAAAAAAAGACCGTTACCGTTACTACTAATACAGCGACAGCTACAACTACCACTAGGACAATCGGTATCGCTATTACCATCAGCACTAACATCGCCACTAACGCCACCACCACCACTACTACTCACTACTACCGCCACTACTACTACCGCCACTACTACCACCACCACTACTACTATTACTACCTGTTGGCTACTCGCTCCGCTTAGGGCTCGAATAAACCGTCCTTGACACTCTCGTAATAGACGGACGAGAGCCGATCACGTCTCGCTTCTTTAGTGCGCGCTCGTGTAGATGCCCAAGGGCTCCGTGCTTGGCCACGGGGGAGCCGCTTCTTCCCGGACGGAAGAGGCGGATGCGGTCGACCTCCTTTCGGCCGGGAGTAAAACCTTAACTAACCGAGGTCCGTCGGGCCTTGATCTCGTTTCAGATTCACCGGCGATGGACCAACTGACGCACGCCCTGTGGATGTCGCGGCTCGCGGCCAACTCGAGCCACGGGCCCGCCGTCGACGAGGAGCTCTCCAGGTTCGTAGCCGGCAGTCTTTACTTTTGCCATTCGGTCGTCGCGGCCCTTATCAAACCGCCTCCATTAATAATAATCCTGTTTCCGCAGATTCTCCAGGCCGCTGAGGAACTTTGCAGCGACGATCGCCATCCTCATCATGATCATCGGCCTGCTGGGAAATCTCCTCACTATTGTCGCCCTCCTCAAGTATCCCAAAGTCCGTAACGTAGCCGCGGCCTTCATCATAAGGTACAGCTTAACCGTGAGCTAAGCGCGAGCTAATGCCCGTCTCCTCGTCTCAGTTCCACCAACCCTCCGAGACGTCCAACCGCCGCCTCGTTAAAACTCCAAAACGAAAATTGTCTCGCCCGACTCCAATCACTCCGAAGCTTAAGGAAAAGTCAAAATTGAGCCGAGTATGAGGTAGAGTGCGAGTGTTGTTGACTCGTCCGAGACCGAGGGCAATTGATAGCGTAACGAGCGAGCCACTCGCTGCCAACCCACAAAGTATAAATATTTTGCCCTCGGATATTATTCGCTTGTCGATTCCATTCCATCCATCCGATTCGGTCCGAACTCCGACCCTCATCCACGAGCCCTAAACGCCACGTTAATTAACTAAACGTTCAAAGCGCGTCATCGACGGGATTACGGATCCACGGAGACGAGCGAGAGAGACGGCATCGCGTGCCCTCGTCCCACGAGCAGCGATCGTCAATTCCGAGCGTCGCATGCGTTGTTTACGACAAATTCACTGGACAAGTAAGAATATTACGTCAGCCTCGCGCTCGCTCTGCCCAAACAAACTCCCTATCCGTTCGCTTGCCAGCGTACTTGCGCGTCCCGTTGCTCGCACGTCCATCGTCCCGCCTCGGGGCTATCGAATCTCGATCGGTGTCCTCACCGCTGTCGATTGCCCGGCAGTTGGCCTCGCGAGTCGGTGAGTTCTTGGTCAAGGCTCTACGACCTTCGCGATCGACGGCCAACGAACAATTGGCAACGCGAATTGGCCAACGCGAGCGCCGATTGTAGCGTTACTGCCGGGGGCGCCGGGAATGATCAAGCCCTCTTAATATTTAACGAATTACGCTCGTTAATGGGCGCATTGTATTGTATTGGCGAATCAATCGGGCGATTGAACGGCACTCGTTACATAATTGAGAGGTCGGCTAATGCGAAATAAAGCCCCGTAAAGTAAAAGCAAACGCGCCGTTTGTCAGGCTTTTGCTGATCGTACGTGAGGGAATGCAATTTGGCTCTTTCCTTTTCACCGACCGAGCCCGTAATCGTAAATTCGGAAGAAATTCTTCGTTGCCGCAGATCGGCACCCAGCGAACAAGTGTACTTGTTCGACTCATCACCTCTCAATAAGATAATAATGAAAATAGCCTTTTTATAAAATAATTCCCGGCAATGATAATTTATACGATGCCGAGGCCAATTGTCATTAGCGACGATGGTGATGCAACGAGGAGCGATGAATCAGGTAATCCAATCACGCGTCCTGTTTATCATTATTATAATGTCAAAGGCACTTTGGATTTTCGATTAAATACAATTTGCGCGTCCATTTGTATGCGTAGGTGGGTGACTATGGAAATGGGTACGCGTGGATCGAGCGGACAGAGGCGTCATATTACTTAATAATGTGAAATTATTGTTTTGTTGGAGAGTGGCTTGATCTATGCGACTCCATTATAATCAAGAGCATCGAAGGTTATTTTTCGCGGCACTTAAAATGCCGTACGCGAGAGAGAGAGAGAGAGAGAGAGAGAGAGAGAGAGAGAGAGAGAAGAGCGATAGAATATTTTATTCTACCATGGCACTATGTGCGAGTATTACGCAACTACTTCCAAGCTCGAGAAATACAATATTTTACAATTGTTTTTAAATCTTTTACGATTCGCGCATCTACCCCGATGCTCGAACGACCTCCCCCGCCCTATTTTTTTTCTCCTCCTCCCTCCGCCCCTCTTTCTAGTTTTCCTTGGAGAAAAAAAAAACACTCTCTATTATAACTCGGTGCAATGAAATTTATAGTCGTGCTTCTACATTAATAAATAAAACTGCCAAACAATATAACAAAAGCGTAAAATATTGAAATATAGGCAATGCTAAGTTAGCGCGTATATTGTAATGTTACGAGCATCGAAAGAATTGCAATGGATTTTTTTTATTCGGTGCAACGTTTTCCCAACATTCATAAATAATACCAAAGCATATACTATACTGCTACGCAGTAATTAGCACTCACGCGTCTACACTTTTCTTTCCTTCTTTTTTCTTTTTATATGTTTTTTGTGTATGTGTTTGGATTATATGTTTTTTGCGTATGTTTCTGTGTCTTATATACAAGAAACAAGGAGCAGAGTTTTAATGATCGGGGAAATATTTTAGTTCTCATAATTAACTAGAAATAAATTACTTATGCGCGTGCATCCTTGTGCAGCTTGTGCGTCGCCGATTTCATTTTCTGCCTGCTGGTACTACCTTTCGATTCCATCAGATTCGTCGACGCAAGTTGGGCCGACGTTCGCTTTTTATGCGTCTTGGTGCCTTTTCTACGATACGGCAATGTCGGAGTGAGCTTACTCTCCGTTGGCGCCATAACGATTAACAGGTAACAATTCCATCATATCAATATCAATCAAAGAAAGCCCTTGACCCTCCTCGTCCTTCGCTCCTTACCCATAAATCACGCCGATGAAGATGATGATGATAAATTACAGCGGGGCCTTTGTCATTCTTACGACCTATCGATCGATAACTCCCATCTTACGTTGCCCCATTCCCCCGCATCAAAATATTGAAAGTTATTACGGCCTTTGAATTTTCATTGTCTCCCCGCATCATTCTCATCTTCCGTCGCATTCCGGACATTTCCATTGTAACCTTCTTCGAGGCTTATTACCCGAAGACCTTCCTTTCAGATACATCATGATAGCGCATCACGGAATATACGGCCGAGTATACAAGAAACACTGGATTGCTTTAATGATTCTCTTTTGTTGGCTCTTCTCCTACGGAATGCAAGTCCCGACTCTCGTCGGCTCCTGGGGTAATCACTCATTTACTTCTGAATATGATATTTTAGGAACAACGGCGTGATCGTTGCTTGTAATGTAATGAGCGTAATTTCTCTTCACCAGGCAAATTCGACTACGATTCGAATCTCGAAACCTGCTCGATCGTCCGAGATGCTAATGGCCGGACCTCGAAAACTTTCCTATTCGTAACCGGATTCGTCATCCCGTGTATCGTCATCGTTGGCTGCTACACGAAAATATTTTGGGTCGTCCACAAGTGAGTGAACTCCTAGCGTATTATGCAACTAATCCAAAGATGCGCGCGGATAGCGTTTTATCGTCGAAGCCACATTTTCTCTCTCTCTCTCTCTCTCTCTCTTTTTTTTTTTTTTTGTTTTTTTTTTTTTTTTTTTTTTTTATTGCCTGTATGAGAGATAAGCGAGGCCGATAAAACTATTCGTCGGTCATCGGCCACGAGACAATGATTGATTCCACGTTTATTAACACTCTTCCCCACCCCCACCCCCACCCTCCGTCGCTCACCAAGCTCCATGGATCAGTATCCCTTCGACGACCTCGAGTTCGAAATTTTAGAACGCGGACAGTGTCGCGCTGTCCATATCCCGAACCAATAACAAACTTCGTTAAATAAAAATTGCGCCAAATTGGATGATTGGCAGGTCGGAGTCGAGGCTGAGGAAACACACGGCACCGCCGAGCATCAAGTCGCCCCACAGCCCAGGGCGTGACACCCGCGAGATCAAGCAGCGGCGCAGCGAGTGGAGGATCACCAAAATGGTCCTTGCCATTTTCCTTGGATTCGTTGCCTGCTACCTGCCGATCACGATTGTCAAGGTCGCCGATCCGGAAGTCACGCATCCGGGTAAGGATCGAGGACGATTACGATGCCGGGGCACTCCATCGCCCGCTTTCTGCACGCTTTTAGCTTTTCGCGCTTACGGTATCTCCAACATTTTGCCAAATATTTCTTTTTTACGCTTCACGTTATCTTATCGGTGAATTGAAGTTGACTCTATCTCAGTAATGCAATCTCGTGTGTGTGCAAAATTAATTTAATTGCCAAATTTCAAAAGTTTCGGTGGACTTTTGCACTGTCGTCTTGTGTGCAATTGCGCTCATTTCAAGCGGATTAACTCTTTCGTTTGCCAAGTATTGTTCCGAGGGAGACGAGAACGTCAAATGCAAAAACATATTTAACGTTTAAAATAGCAATTTGAAATTTCTGCCAAATTCAGTAATGAATTAATTTAGGCTCGTTTAAAAATGGCTTGTTGGAAAAATTTCTCATCGCTTATGACACAATTTAACTAATTAAAATTTTCGATGCTACTCTCTCTCTCTCTCTCTCTCTCTGTTTAACACCATAATTAACTCAGAATTCCAAATTTGTCTAAATAAAAATTCTAAATAGCAAATGTACATTGTGCAATAAGTTCGCGTAATTACCGAAATATAAATGAAAAATAAACATACACGGCAATCTTATCGCTTATATTATAATAATAATAATAATAATAATAAATAGTAATAATAATAATAATAATAATAATAATAATAATAATAAACGAGTGTTATTTATAAAACAGTTTGCAGCGCGCTCGACGATTATTTCAAAAATTAAAAAATTTTTCGTGACAAAACTATCGACATCGTAGAAATGATTCGAAATATCGTTCATCCTTATTCATCGAATATTCACGTGGTGAGATCGGATGGTGACTCGAGTAAAATAAGAATAATTAATTACGAGACACCGCGACATCATTTACGAGCGATATTAGGATATTTTCAAGCTCTATAATCTCATTGCATACAAATAAACAAACAAACAAACAAACAAACAAACAAACAATTAAAAAACGAAGAAGAAAAAATCACTCGACGATTCGACAACGTTTACCTCCTACCCATACCATATTAATTCTCATGAAATCATACATGACTTTATCGGGAAAAAACGTATATTTGTTTTTTGTTTTGTTTTTGTTAAGTTTGTTTTTTTATTTCGTATTTAATTGCGTTACGTCGCCTGACGCGCCGCACCCATGTGAGAAAAAAAAACAACGTTAACGTTTGCCAATTTTATTATACATTCCTGTCTCCTCTTAGAGATGATGCGATTCTCAATTCTTTCGACTCGGCACGCGACTCACGTAATCGCTAGGATCCAGAGCTAGAAAAGAAGGCCTCGTCGTACAGGCAATGTGAGCTCCTCTCATAACTTCTACATCTTACCTAATTACATCTGCAACCGATTTTTCACGCTAATTAACATCGCACTTACCGCCACTGGCAATGAATGACTCGCTACCATCAACGGACACTGCTCCTTTCTCCCACAATGCTAATCTGAGCTGCTTAAACACACAGAATCTCCCTCTGAGCGCATCGCCTCAGTCGATCCGAATCGACTGGATGTATGATGATGATAAATGTGCCAATTAATTAACTTTCTGAATTTCGCAGCGTTCCACGTGATGGGCTACCTCCTTCTGTACTTCGCCTCGTGCGTCAACCCCATAATATACGTTATTATGAACAAGCAGTACAGGCAGGCCTACGCGGGCGTGATTAGCTGCTCGAGGATAAGGGCGAGCCTCACGCCCCATGGAAGCAGCGCACCGGGCCAGAACAACTTCGGCCACCAAGGTAACGACCAACGGCCCGCCAGCATCACCAAACTCTGAATAACCCACAAGTCAATGGCCTCCGCGTGCCCAATGCGCGAGCCGCTCCTTTCCTCTGTCGTAAGTCAAGGGCTACGCAACTCAACGCACGTCGCGCGAAGCCTCCCCGGCCGCGGCCTTGAATACCCATACTGCGAGACCCGCCCCCGCAGGTCGCGGAGGCTCTATTAGACTGATTTTAAGCCACTGTGATTAACATTTGACCTGGACTCTCTCCCACCCTGATTTCAAATTGCAACTCGAGACGCAAGACTAGTGCAAGACAACAACTACGATCCAACCTTCGTTTATCATAGCGGCCGTTCCTCTCATTATCATTACCATCATCATCGTCGTCGTCGTCGTCGTCGTCGTCGTCGTCGTCGTCGTCGTCGACGTTCTTCTTCTTCCACTTCTTCTTCTTCTTCTAATTATTATTAGTACTATTATTATTACTATTGTCATCGCCTCCATCATCATTATCATCATCAGCATCATCGACGTCGTTGTCGTCGTCGTCGTCGTTGTCATCACAATTGTTTAAACTACCGCTATTACCACTCCTGCTACCACCACTACTACAACAGCTGCTACTACCACTACTACCATAACTACTATTACTATTACTATTACTGCTACTATCACCACCACCGTAACTATCACCGCTACCATAAATACTATTACTGCCTGTTGGCTGCTACTGTTACTGTCACTATTAACATCAATACTATTACTATTGACACTATTATAATGATTATTGTTATTATTATTATTATTGTTATTATTCTAATTATTATTACTACTATTCTTCTTCTTCTTCTTCATATTATTATTATTATTATTATTATTGTTGTTGTTGTTGTTGTTGTTGTTGTCGTTGTCGTTGTCGTTGTCGTTATTATTATTATTATTATTATTATTATTATTATTATTATTATTATTATTATTATTATTATTTATTGTTATTGTTATTGCACCAGTCTTTGTTTTCTTTATCTAACTTTGTTGCAAGCGACGGATATTCTGGTGATTGCTTCACCTTATACTCTTAAACACAAATACACTTAAACCATAATTTTAATAAGTCCAAGCGAATGAGTCGCGGCTCTGCGAGACGTACAAATCGCTGTAAATACAGGCTCTTGGCTTTCTTACGAACTTGTCGTTTTCTCTAGATTTTCTCTCTTACGGATTTTTTTCCAGGATTGGCCGAACCGAGCTAAATATTGAACTCATGCGATTTTCTACGTACTAACGCAGTTACCGAGAGGCGAGTAGCATGTTTTAAAAAGAATGTGGTGTTTGGTAAAGCTTCGTATCACTAATCAATTTACAAATTAATTTCAAAGAGATCCCTCTAACTCGCTGATAACGTCCTCGAATGTTTAACGCTACATTTGGTTAATCGCAAGTCAATGTTACCCGTACACTCACTCTGATTGCTAAAACTAATAAACTAAAACACTTAACAAACTTGATACTCGATAACCAGTAGTTGACTTTTTTTTTCCTTCTTTTTTGTTTTTTGTTTTTTTCCGAGATTTTTTACACTTCACTTAAAAAATACTACGCGATAATGCTTAAGAGATAAATGATAAATCCGGCATGGATTATTTTACGGTCAAACGATCGACTTTAAAATACCGGATGGTAAATGCGTTTTTTGTTTCTATTTTTTTTTGTTTTTGTTTTTTTCTTTTTGTTTTTCATGGATTGATTTATTACTAATATTGTCGCATTGGTACTAAAATTGTTTAATAAATGGAAATTTTATCGAATATATCAGTACTACGGCATATCAATAAATAACAATAATTAAACGAGTTTATTTCTAATTCTTTGTGAAATGGAATAAATGAAATAGTGAAATGGCAAACGTAGGCCTGATGGAATGTAAGCCTTGAGCATTTAATAAGCTGATATATTCCTTCGACATAACGCAACATTACTTGTCAATTAATCAATAAAGTTGAACTATTAAATTATTTTCTATTTACAGATGCTCTTTAGAAAAGTAAAAATTTGGTATGAGCAAGCCGTTGCGTGGAAACGGTAAAATGTGAGCTATTCGGAGTGCAAAGATTAATGAATGAATCAATGATGTTTGAGTCTATGCGTAACGGGAAATTAAAACGATGCTTTGTAAGGAAAATTCTACGTTTCAATGTAGCGAAACGAAAGTACATTGTTCGAGCATTCGCTGAAATTTCAAATAATCGGTATCGCCGCAAACGCCGAGTAGCTCACATTGTACAATAAAATTTCAATTTTACTAAAAATGTTGAGCTTTTTTTGGTTAGCTAATACTGTCGCGCGACAATACCAAACAAATCAACAATAAAATTGAATTAATCTTCGTTTTAGATTACTCCAAAGACTACAGCAAGACTATGGTCTCGTCAGTATCCATCGCTATGAATTCCGTAAGAGACGTTCATCGCGACGATCAATTTTAACGAAGTGGATAAGATAGCGCAACTTTAGACGTGACACTGGAGAGAAATTTAGTCATTTTATCGACATATATAAAGTTTCGGTTGGAGGAAACGACGAAGGATGGTAATAGGAACGTCAGCAGGCTATTTACGGGAAAGCCCATTAATATTCATTCGACTAAGAGGTTCTCAAGAATTAGAAAATCCTGTACGCCTTGTCGTAATGTCGAACTGTTCACATTTCTCTTTATACGGATACGTAGAAGTTCTGATGCAGCATGTAGCAGGATGTATGATTATTTTATACACGTACGCGTTATATGTACAAAAGTCATGATTGCACGACCAAAGAGCGCGAAAGAATTCAGATTTTGTAAATAAAGTACATGTGTAAGGGAGTATAGAGTACGGCAGCTAGTTAAATAATTTTATAGTAAAAAATAGAAAGGATTTATTATCAAAGCTTATCTGTGTGTGTATGCCTGCCTGCCTGCCTGCCTGTCTGCCTGTCTGCCTATGTATTTGTGTCTATGCGCGCGTGTCTGTTCGTATGGCTGTGTTCGTGTCTATGCGCGCATCTATTTGTACGTGTTTTAATGTGTGTGTACGCGCCTGTGTCTGTCTGTGCACGCACACGTATGCGCATGCATACGGAGAGACAGAGAGAGAGAGAGAGAGAGAGAGAGTTGCGCACACACGTGCCTACACAAACTAAATATGCGAAATAAATACAAATATAGATACACGGCAACGGATAAGATACTATGTAACCTACACGTATCATCGTGACGCACATGTGAGATTATGTATAGTAAGAATAATTGATATGATATTAAACAAATGTTAACAATTTTACAAAATAAATCAACATCGTTATAAAGTTTAGTATAAAACAATGGCTTAAAGTTATTATAGATTCCAGGTATTCCACGGTTTAATCGTATTTCGATAACGCAAAAAAAAAACACCATTTAAATTGAAAAGGCTTATAAAATTATAATATATATATATATATATATATATATATATATATATATATACATACATACATACATACAGACACACACACACACACACACGCACACACATATATATATATATATATATATATACATTAAAATTTACAACAAATATGCTTGTCTCGTAGTAATGGAGTGTCGCGTAACTTAATTGACTCTCGTATTTCATCGTTAATTTTTGACTTGAGAACATTAACAACCAAATAGTGCATCGCCTCATCTGAAAACGACAATATAATGCAAAATTAATACCTTCGAATTTATTTTGTAAAATTGAGAATAAGCGCTAAAACGTCATCAGTAAATTTTCAATGCAATTTTATTGTGGTCAAGTTGCGACGATAATTTTTTATTACGATACTCTATCGGTTATATTTTTTTCCTCTTTCGCACAATATTTCGCATTATAAGCGAAAGATATTGAGATTGTTAAATAAAGCTTATTACGCATATTATCGGTCGTATTATTAAATCAATTATTAAATTAAGAATTTAATCGAGGAAGTGACGGCGAGATTGACTCGATTATACTGCGGATTCCCAAAGCGGACCAACAACGCAGTAACACTTACTTATGTTCATGTTTTCTTTGGCCGAAGTGAGGAACCACGAGCCAATTTCGTTCTCTTTGCAAAATTTGATGATTTGTTCGTTGGGAATGGACGGCTCCTTAATGTCGCACTTATTAGCCAGCAGGACAATCGGTATTTTCGAGCCGTCCGGCAATGTCACGGTTTCTCGAAGATTGCTCAGCCACTTCTTGACGGAACGGAAGGTCGCTATCCTCGAGATATCGAACACCAAAGCTGCGGCAACTCTAAAACGTAAATGTCGTTAGGAGAATTTTACGAGGGCCCCGCGGGGAAGTATCGCACCGGGACTTCTCGATACTCCTAAGGACCAAGCAGTTAACTAATATTCATATTTACGCATATTTGTAGTAGACTCTCGTCATGTAGCCGAACCTCTCGTGACCGGCGATGTCCCTAAAAGTTACGTAATCGTGAGTGGGCGTTAAATACGTTACCTTACTAACCCCATGAGATTAAGGAGCAGTTAAATTATCAGCACACGTTACCATAATTGGAGATTAATTTTCGTATGCGAGTCCCAATCGATCGACCTCACCGCGAAATCGGCGCCAATGGTCGTCTTGTAGTTGGAGGAGAATTTGCCTGGCCAATGGGGAATTAAAACCGAGAGTTGTAAAACGCCTCGTGGCTACGTAATAATAAACGAGCAGTAAATATAATACCTTCGGTGTATCTTCGAACAATCGCAGTTTTCCCTGGAAAAACAAAACAAAACAAAAAACAAAAAAACGAAGAAAAAGTAAATGAACGTCACTGGTTCATCTCAAGTGCTTCATCGCTCCTCTACGACGCGACGCGCCTTCAACGAATTATCAACAACGAATTATCGATCGTCGATGTCGACATGCGTCAGTGCGTGCGAGTTTAGAAGAGCGCGAGCGCGAGCGCGAGCGCGAGCACAAGCACACCGAGAGCGCTAAATTCACAAGCTCTTGTGACAGGTGCGTATTTACAGGTAAGAGATTGTTTGCATTTAGCTGGAGTCATTGTATGACGATGTAATATCCCAGAGAATCGACCTGATACTCGATAACATTGGCCGATAGCTTCTATCTGGGCTTATCTACGAGCTCGCGTTGTTTATCGAAAAATTCCGAGAGCACAGATTTAACGAAACGTTTAACCAACCAATAAGTCGGCCCGTACGAGCGTCTGCTCCTTATCTGCCCCCTTATCAATTCTCATTTTCCGTCATTGGGCGACTTTAATGTCATCGTCGTGCACTTACCCACTCCGTAATCGCCGACGACGAGAATTTTGAAAAGCAGCTCCTGTTGACCAAAGTGCCCGAGCACCGCGTCCGAATCCTGCCGCAACACCTTCCTCCCAGCCATCGTCCTCCTACCGATTATTCTCCTTTTTATTAAAATGCAAAGCGGACGCCAGCGACTTTAGACGAACGATTTTTAACGAACGATTCCGGCCCCCTTACGACCCTACAATACAAAAGCAAATCTAATTGCCCGCCTAAATCCAACCACCTCCCGCTCCACCCCGTTCGCTCAACTACTAG